CAACGTATTATTTTTCCTTTTGGCTAAATTACCCTTCTGTTCGGTTAAACCTAGTGAACGAAATAATTATTTATTTATTTTTAGCAAAAAAATAAAATAATAACTATTTATAAATCAATTTTATGAAAATAGCGTAGACCATAAAAGAACGCAAACGTAACAAAAAGAAACAATTAAGGTACGAAACTCCAATTATGTAAGTTATGACAGTGGATTCCTGAAACTCGATAAAGAATACCTTAAGTGTCATGAAAGTGAAGTGGTCGTAGCAAACCTTCTCGTTGTCCACCGACTGAACAAGTTCCTATATCCTTTTTGTTGTCGGGTTCTTCTCCAAGTACGTCTTCAATATATAATTGTTTGAGAGACTCCAATCAAAGATGCTCTAAGTACTATGTTCAATGTGTGTGCCTTCTTCTCCAGGAAAACGTGAGCCCCACATGTGGAGTGATGATTACTTATAAAACAAATGATCTCCTCCTCATGACTTGTGACATTTAAGCAAAGGGCGATGGTATGAATTACAGTTTGTTTCCGATTTTACTCTTTAATTTAGATAAGATTTAACTCAACTTATTTTGTTAATTGAACCATTAAAAATATATCTACAGTAAGGTATATCTATATGGCGAAGTGGATGAAATGTCATAACAATATATCTATATTTTAATATAAAAATAAAAATTAGTGTAAGTAACACATCATTTATGTCGAAGTTGATGAAATGTCAAAACAAATAATATGAAAAAAAATATGAGGGTTGGTGAAATTAAGTGTGTGTAAAAAACAAACTTTTTGGGTATGGATAGGTGGAGGGTTACGGAATAGATTCCTTATCGAGTTTCTTCATGGATTATGGATATAAAATTGGAGATGGGCTTGATTTTCCAACGAAGAAAACTACGAGTTCTCACGTTTTCACCTCCGGATATTCACGTCCCCGACGACGGTCACGGTCTTGACAACGGGCCTCTGCCACAACTTGTCATAGCTGAGCTTCTTGTGGATGAACTAAGTCCTGAATCACAAGTATGAATGATAATCATAAACATAATGTTGTTGTCATGAGTCTTGAAACATCTAATTATAGCTTTCTTGTTCCTAACTTCTAGTTAATGGTTAATTAGGAGATAATACGGAGATATCTAAAACCACAAGGTGGTAAGCAAGCGGTTCTTTCAAGTACTTTGGGGTCTCTAATTTGGGAGAAGCCAACATCCATCGACTTTAATCATCAAAGAGTATCTAGAAGAAAAGGGATTCAAACTCAACAGAGACGGAGGAATTCTCAAAGGTTTCCTTTACTTGTTTCCCTCATGAGATTCTTGGTTATTGCAATGTTTATGTTCTTTATCTGCTATATAAATAGGAATAAATGTGAATCAATATGTATTTCAGTGAGTCAAGATGGTCTACTTCTACAAGTGTCATCGATCTCGGAGAGGGTTGCGGTTGAATTTTCAGATGGAGTAACCGAAACAATCCCGGCTTCATATATAGAGTTCACTCAACGTCTGGTTCTCTCCAAAGTTTCAAGATCTGCCTCATGACCAGGTTCTACATTTGGATACAGTACTGGCTTCTTTTCATCATGTATGCCTTCGTTGGTCCATTGTATTCACAATATATGTGTATACCCGTAATTGCAGATTAAAGAGTAACATAGACGTGACGACTTTGATTTCGACAACGCAAAAAACATTTTGGAAAGCGCCCGTTTCACCTCAGATGTCTAGAATCAGTTTGGTCCAATCCTTTCTGAAATGAATACCATTAGATTAAGCATTGGTTTGTAATGCAAGTAGTATGGTTCAATGTGTGCTGTGATACCTGTGTGTGTGTGTTTCTTCTTTCCCAAGAAACGTGTCTCAAATGCATTTACTCGTGTTTGAACATCCCCATTTCCTCCTCTTTCTGTTCAATGTTACGCAGTCTAATTTCCTTGCATCCTCCTACGAAACATATTTCAAAATAGAAAATCAATAATCATCAATACGTTAATCAAGGTTTGCTGTCGAGAGAATTTGCCAGTTCAGAATCTGAGAAGGAGCAAAACCCTAAAAATATCTTCGATTTTATTGTTGTGCAAGATTTCGCTTGTTTCGTCCATCTTCAAGATTCTGAGCGTGCGCTCAAAATTAGGGTTACGTAATTATACGTGACAACGATTAAATGCCGACTAATTACGGCGTCAAGTTTTAGGATTGGCCCAAAATAAGCCCAAGATATAACCGTGGACAACGTGAATAATTTTGTTGGGGAGATTTTGGGCCCTTTTGGGTTAATATGAATCCGATGAGTGTATAATAAAGTTCTTTTTAAAATTATTTCATTTTTGAAGCAAAAAATATATTTTGATTAATATGAATCTGAATTCATCAAATATATATTTATCGGCTATTTTTTTTTTGGGTTTTAGCAAAAATAGACATAAGTATAAACCAATTAAGTATCCAGTAATATTGCATAATAGCAAATGATACAATTGTTGAACAAAAAAACAAAAATAAAAATCAAATGATACAATTATTTTGGTGTATTTTCTAATACCAAGATAGAGATGGTAACTTGGCTGAAAAATACAAAGGTGAAAAAACTTTAGTCACGTAAATATTATTTACAAGGATAACAAATAAAAAACAAAGAAAGAAAGAACACGTTGATGATTCCCATTGATCATATACAAATTAGTATTCGTCACTTCTTTTCCATTTACCCACAAGCGTTATAGGTTTAGCTCTATTTTTTTCCAAGTAAACCCCATCATTGTTAGCAATCCATAAACGGTGGCCATTATTACACGGAGGAGGATGAGATGATGTATGTGCCGTCAAAAAGTAAATATAAGGATAAATATCCAAATTCTCTTTAGGTTTTTGAAACCTACACTCCATGAGTTTTGGCATGTTTTTCAACATGTGTTTCTCATTGAACTTTATCTCTTGGACCATAGCGCGGCCTAGTTTATCATCGCAGACAAGCAAGAGCATCTTGCCAGGACCCAAATTGTTTTGAACTTCTAACTTTCCATAGTTGCAATCTTTTGCTTCATTCAACTTAGCATGCATAGCAATAAGCAACACAAAAATTATGAGACTATTCATTTCTTTTTTCTTTTTTTGAAACAAAAAGTATCTGTGGATTAAAGTAGATCATCTAAAGACATCAAATGTAATATTTATATTAAAAAATATATTTGGGTCGAAAAATTTTTCTTCTATTTATTTAATGGTTTTAGCTAAATTTAAATACAAACTAATTGCTTCCTCTAATTAAAAAAGAATTCGATGACGAAAAATATGGATAGCCAATAAAATCAAACTATATATAAATTAACCTTACAAACTGTAGCTGATAAAAAATCAAACCAAAAAATAAAAAGTAGAAGATGTAACAAAAAAAAATTGCAATATACAATTATTTTAACAATACAAAAATATTGTATTAATAATAAATACAATATTATTATACGATTTGTTACTTTTTAATTTCACAACGAAACTTGTAAATTAATTAATCCCGTGCAAATATCATCTATCCAATTTTGAGTATACGATTTGTTACTTTTTGCTAACTCGTCCTCTTAAATTCTTTTTTTTTGTTAAGAATATTAATAAATAAATAAAGCTTAACTAAAAGTAAATCATGAGATAAACATAATATATATAAAATTCAAATAATGTTAAAAAAAAAGAAAAAGAAAAATCATATTTCAGAAAAATAAAAAGTGAATCAAGATTGGGGTAGTTGGGTTGTTGTAATCTGGTCGAACGATCACCATGTTTGAGAAGGACATAACGGTTCAACATCAGTCGACATAGCTGCACCGTAGTCATATTGATATGCTGAAGTTGAAGCAATATCGATGTTGAACGTTTCTCTGCGTGAGATAACTTCTACAGCTTGGTCATCCTCTTCATCGTTTTCAACTATACAGCCCAGGTGCAGTGAAACTCCATGAGGCGACGAACGGATACATTCCAGCTCCACTAAAATATCCCTCATGCTGGGTCGTCTCTCTCCCGTAAGGTTCAGACACAGCCTCGCAATCTTGGCCATGACCTTGACTTGCTCCAACATGCAACCATCTCTGATGCGAGGATCAATAATGTCGAAAAGCCTGTCGTCTCTCATTGCAACGAGAAAGTAAGTTGCTAGAGTCCGGGTGTTTTGAGGCCGTTGGGAAGAGACCGGCTTCTCTCCGGTGATGAGTTCGGCGAGGACGACACCGTAACTGTACACGTCGCTCTTTTCCGTGTATTGTTCGGATTGGTAGTACTCAGGATCGACATATCCGGCGGTACCTTTCACCACGGTAGTGAGATGAGTATCATCCACAGCCATCACCCTTGAAATACCGAAATCAGACAATTTTGCTCGGTGCTTAGCGTCAAGCATGATGTTGGTAGAATTAAAAACAAAAACTCAGCTCATTTGACCAGGCTCTTGATTGTGCTTACTTCAGCTGTTAGGGTTGAGAAAGGTCTCAAGGTTTATGGTGAGTTACTTCTTATGTAAACATACATTTGCATGATCGTGTCGCCGATACTAATTTACTTGTCATCAATGTATGTAACAGACTACACATGTTTGGTTGGACTCGTGAGCCAGATTGTGCTAACTTTGGTGGATTCCTCTGATGTTCTCGATAAAGTTCTGGCACTGATGTTATGCACCATTGACGGACTCAGTGACTTCAATGAAGTGGAATCCATTGCTTCGCAATGGGCCCACATTTTTTCGTTGAAGAGTTTAAGGTATCTTGTAATACTCTTCAATGTTAATTCTTCCCCTTATGATTCATCATGCAATCTTTTGCAGTTTGCTGAGTTTTTTGCGGGAGTTTCTAGAGAAGGATAAATTAATAGTGGAAGCCTTTGCAAGTAATATATTAAGGCAAGACTCTTTTTTTTTCATTAACCTCTTTAAAATCTGTCTTATCTTTTATATATGTCATTAGTGACTGGCTTGGCTTCTATGCATGCAGTTGGATCAACAATATGATTTTTGAGTCTACGGAGGAGGTGATTCCTCTATTACTATCGTATTGTAAGAAGCAGCAAACAAGTCACGACAAGGTGAAAATTATAGATGGATCAGTCGAGAGGATTCATGAGTTCTTGGAAGAGAAAATCAAGAAAACTCAAACGTATATAGAGAATACAGGGTTAGCTCAAATCGATGAGGCTGAGTTTGCTGCTGTTTGTGGAGCTGTGAATTGTTTTCCCTATTTTAAAGTGGATTCATCATTGCTGATTTGCTTTAAGAATACTCTTAAACAGCACTTGGTCGACTCAGCTGGTAAGCTTTTACCATGCCACATCAACTTTATACTGCTGTTCTTGATCATGGTCTTAATTTTTAGAAATTATCATAACTCTTTTTATTAAATCTTTTTCAGTAAACACTTGTAGTGCTCAAGAGTTGATGTGGCAGAGCATGCTTGGTGCTGTTTTGGGGTCATGTCATAAACTCTCTTCTCCTGGAAGAATCAACCGCAGTGATGTAGAGGAAGCTTTTGTTTCTTGCTAAACAGTACAAGACATGTGTACAAGTGCTCTCTTCCGTGGCTGACTATTTGGATCGTGTGGTCATGTGAGTTATTCAATTAATTCTCCATTTTGTATTTGATGACTCTGTGATGGTAAACGCTGATCCACTGTAATCCGCAGGCCTGTATTAGCAAATGATGGTAGTAGCCCTAATGCATATCCAGAACTTGAAGCAGATAAAGCCGAAGATGCCTTCACCATCTTTTCTGAAAACTTGCGTCACTCAAACAAAGACATCCGTCTTCTGACTCTAAGGATCCTTTGCCATTTCGAGACTCTGTCTTGTAATCCATCTTCTGAAGAACATCCTCCTCCTAAGAAGAAACTGAAGACTAGCGTGGTTCACAAGTCTCTTCCTAAAGCGAATGTGAGTAGCAACTATATGACTGTTAACCTCTGCGCTCTATCATCGTCACAACTAATACAATTCTTTTCAAATTACCACAGGCGCTTCAGTTACTGAAAACAGTCGAAGAGTCTCTTCTCACAGTATCGACCGAAATGGAGTTGAGCAGATCGATTACTAGCATACAAACGGATCTCTCTGATGGCAGGATGCACGAGGCGTATGTGCCTCTTGTATTCAATGGAATTATAGGAATATTTCACAATCGATTTTCCAGAATATGGGAGCCAGCATCTGATTGCCTTGCGGTTCTTATCAAGAATCACACAGGAGCCGTGTGGAATGGTTTTGTTCGTTATATAGGTCAGTGCCAACTAAATTTTGAAGCACTCCACAATCATAGCGAGGATGAAAACTACAGAACTTCACAGAAGCATACTGGTAGGGTTTTTTTCGCTATTTTTACCAATATTTTGCATCTCTATGTTATTTCTTTCTTCTCTTCTTTACAACTCTGATGTTTGGCTTTTTCAACGTACAGATACTGGAGAAGTTGTATCTCTGTTGCTTAAGACCATACAGAAAGTTCCCACTGTTGCTCAGTCTCGAGCCTCTGATATTCTTCCTTTGTTTTTGAAATTTATGGGATACAAGAGCGAAGAGGATCCTTTGAGGTAAATCATGTCTCTATATCTTTTTGTTCTCAAGGAGTAATTTAGTTCATCTGTTGTCATCATCATCAAGTCTCTCTCTCTCTCTCTCTCCTAATCTTTCAGGGTCGGATTATTTAATGGCGAAGCTTATAATGGAAAGGAGTGGAAGGGTTTGTTTACACAATGGTTGACTTTACTGAAGCTGATGAAGAATCCGAGGTCGTCTCGTTTTAGTCAATTTGTAAACGACGTTTTGCAAAACAGGTTCTTGGACGATAATGTTGCTGAAATACAAACGAGCGTCCTAGAATGCCTTGTGTTGTGGAACGACTATTTACTCCCACACCGCAAGCGTTTGGAGAATTTGATCATATCAAAAAAACTGAGAGAAGAGCTTGCGACTTGGGACTTCTCCAAGGACATTGAAGAAGCTCACAGATCTCATTTCGTTTGTCTTGTAATTAGGATCCTTATGCCAAAAGTTAGGAATTTAAAAGACTCAGCTTCGCGTAAGGTAACATAATATTACAATATATACTTTTATTTTTCAGTTTACTTCATTTAGATCCTAACACTTTTCTTTTGTTGGCAGCGTACAAGTATCTGTCACAGGGAGGCGGTTCTTGTCGTTATATCTCAGCTGGATGTTAATGAACTTGCCCTGTTCTTTGCCTTGTTGATGAAGCCATTGAACATCATATCAGAGGAAACAACAGACTTGTTTTGGAGCTCAGGGAAATGCTCTCTGGAGTATTTCCAAAAGTCGAATTTCCTGAAATACTTCAACGTTGATACTCTTTCGACCTTATCATGGAAGATGAAATCTGGTTTTCTTCATGTCATACAACATGTACTTGAAGTCTTCGATGTATTCCATGTCCGACCATTTCTTGACTTTCTGATGGGGTGTGTTGTCCGGCTATTGGTAAACTATGCTCCAAACATCGATGAAGAAAGCACCATTGATAAAGAGAGTGTCTCAACGAAGGTAAAATGGTTCTTGCTGCTGTTTAGGGTTATCTATCCACAACAAAACATTTTTTTTTTTTTTATCTTGTCTGATACATTTTTTTTGGTTTTTTTTTTTCTGTGTGTAGGCTGATTTAAAGCAGTTTAAGGAGCTGAGATCTTTGTGTCTGAAGATTATTGCTCATGTTCTTAAAAAGTACGAGGATTGTGATCTTGGCTCTGAGTTCTGGGACCTCTTCTTCTCAGCGGTGAATCCGTTGATCAAGAGTTTTAAGCAGGAGGGTTCGAGCAGTGAGAATCCAAGCTCATTGTTCTCATGCTTCTTGTCAATGAGTAAAAGCCGCAATCTCGTCACCTTCTTGTGTCGAGAAGAGTCTCTTGTTCCAGACATTTTCTCAATTCTAACAGTCACCACAGCTTCAGAAGCTATTAAGTCCTCTGCCTTGAGTTTCATAAAGAATCTGCTCAGTCTTGAGAATGACTTGGATGATGACGATGACCATATGCTCAAAGGAATCTTGGATCCATATTTAGAGGCATTGATTAACAGCTTGCATTCTCTTTTCCGTGAAGATATTTTGAAAAGGTAAGGCTTCTTGTAAATGAACAGACTTAGGTTACATATTTTCGTCTTTTTTTTTTTTTCTCTCTTCTAAAGAAAAAAAGTGTTAATTATGATCTCAGGAAGTATCATGGTGAAAGAGAGATTAAGATTCTTAAACTATTGTCGAAGCACATCCGAGATGAATCTCATGTTATGAAGTATTTGGATGTCTTGCTTTCTTTCTTGGATAAACGTGTGAAATATTCTGGTATATATGGTTTACTCATTTCATCTTTTGGTTAAAAATTAGATCTGATATTCATGTCTCTTGCATGTGTGTGACTGTGTTATTGTTTTTTTTTTTGCAGATACTCATCGTGAGGCTTTGCTAGCCATTCAGGACATCACATCGTTGCTTGGGAGCGAGAGTACCAGCAAAATTATAGATAAAGTATCTCCTCTGCTTGTTGACGCTGATCTTGGCCTAAGATTATGCATTTGTGACCTTCTTGAATCTCTTACAAAAATCGACTTTTCTCTGAATCTAGTGGTAAGTTTCACGACTCTGTTTGAATCTTGAGTCACTTCCTTCTCCTTTTGTTTTTGCATTTGAGATTTTAACAAAACTATTGGTTGCTGTAATCTTATAGGCCAAATGCGTCAGCGATATGAATGCAACTTCACCCATGGAAGTTGATGAGCTTGACTATGAAAAGATAGTTGATGCTTACGGGAAAATTGATGCGGATTTTTTTAACAAATCCTCGGAGCAGCACATGATGATCATTCTCTCACAGAGTCTATACTACATATCATCAGGAGAAGTTACGTTAAAGTACTGCGCACGTAACCTCTTGTTCACTTTCATTGAGTTTTCAGCCTCCATACTTTGCCAAGAGGCTTCAGCTCGCTCTGACATTGGCAAAGATGTTTCAAGATCTGTTGCAAGATGGACAGGAGATCGTGTGTTGCGGATTATGAATAATTTTATTTTGAAACACATTGGAGATTCAGTGAACAGAGGAATTTCTAGTGGAGAGGTACATTGACCCTTTCTTAAGATGGATACGACGAAGTTGGCTATCTTCTTTGCGTTAAAGATTCTAAAGAAAAGAATAATTCTGCTGCAGGAGGAGATTCTTTTGATACGTAAAATGGTGATGGAACTTCCAGATTCAGGGAATCTTGCTGCATTCAGACCTTTATTAGGCTCTGAAAACGACGAAGATGATTTCTTTAAAAACGTCTTTAGCATTCAGGTAAGCCATTTTTATCATATGACTCCTTCAGAGTTTGTACTTGTGTTGTGGTGAGGATGAATCACCTTATGGTGAAAGCTTATGAAAGATGATTGAAACGTTACGAAGAATTTATTTCTTTTGAATGTTGTATTGTAGGCACATCGTAGAGCAAGGGCGATTAAAAATTTCGCGAAGGTGATCAAAGACAGCACTAGCAGTCTCCCTGAGGTGATCTCTTTGCGTCTATTAGATTGTTTAAATACTATTTTTTGTAGTTTCAATGGACTTCTGACCAATTGCTGTTTGGGGGTTGCAGGGCGTAGTGAGAGAGCTTTTGATCTCAGTCTTTTTCAACATGTTTCTTGATGGACAAGATGGTAAAGGTCAAAATGTCCATGATGCATGTGCAGAAGCCCTTGCATCCGTGTCTGCTCATATGAGTTGGAATCCTTACTACGCTCTACTAAATCGGTGTTTCCGTGAGATGGAGAAGCATACCGAGAAGAGAAAGCGTCTGATGAATCTCGTCTGCTCGATTCTAAACAAGTTTCATTTCGCAGAAGATGGTTACGTACAAGACAAGATTAGGGTTTGTCTCGAGAAAAACCTTGTTCCCCAAGATACAGAAGCTGATGGATTCTGAAACCGATAGTGTTCATGTCAACGGCTATGTAGCTGCGGTGAAGGTTCTAAAGCTACTCCCAAAAGACAGAATGGACTCAAATCTAGATTCTATAGTTTCTAAAGTCTCCAAATATTTGAGGGACCCGGTGCAAAAGCCACGTGATGAAGCAAGAAAGGCTCTCGTTGCTTGTTTGGAGGAACTTGGGCTAGAAGATAACTTGCAACTTTTCGTTAGAAAACTAGTTTCTCTATTAAGAAAAGGATCTGAGGTGCATGTGTTGGGATACACTGTTTATCACATCTTATCCAAGTGCCTGCCCAACCCTACGGGTGAGAAGTTGGATCACTGTTTGGAAGATCTCCTTGATGTCGTTGAAGCCGATATCCTTGGAGACGTTGATGAACAGAAAACGGATAGAGAATATGTATCAAAGAAGATAGAGAGTAGAAAACGCAAGTCGCCTGATACTCTGAGATTGCTTGCTGAAAACGTAACGTTCAGAAGCCATTCGTTGAAGTTGCTTTCTATAGTCACTGATCAGCTGCAGAGGCCCATGACTTCAGCTTTAAAATCAAAGCTGGAGGAGATGTTAAAGAATATTGCAGCTGGTATTGAAAACAATCCATCCGTTGATCAAAAAGATCTGTTCTGTTTTATCTATGACCGTGTTGATGATGGTATTAACAACAAGAGTGGTCTTGGAGACCAAGCGTCTTCTCAACCATCGAAAAAGAGAAGGAAGTCGAGAGATACTCAAGAGACTTCTGGTTCCAAGTCATGTCCGCATCTTATTACCGTGTTTGCTCTGGACTTGTTGCACAGCAGGCTGAAGAAAATCCAACCAAACAGTGCTAATGAAGAGCTGGTGTCGAGGTTGGATCCGTTTGTCAGACTACTTGTTGGTTGCTTGAGCTCCAAGTATGAAGATGTTGTATCTTCATCCGTTAGATGTTTCACTGCACTGATGAGGTTGAAACTGCCTTCTTTCAAGTCTGAAGCAGGTAAAGTGAAAGCCGCAGTGTTGAACATCGCAGCGTCTGTGTCTGCAATGAGTTCCAAGAGTCCTCTTCTGGAGTCATGCATAAGCTGTTAAAAGCTCTTATCGGCAATGAAAATCTCAGTTTATCATCTGAGCAGTTGAAAATGTTGATTCAGTTCCCTATCTTTGTTGACCTGGAATCGGATTCGTCCGTTGCTTCTCTGTCACTTCTCAAGGCCATTGTGAAAACGAATCCAAAGATATATGATGTCGCAGATCAGGTTACAAAGTTGATGATAACGCATCAGGATGAATCAACCCGCAAGATTTGCAGAGAGATACTTGTAGGATTTTTGGTCCATAATGAGAAGAAACTCCTAGAGCGATGTTTCAGCGTTCTGCTAAACAGTCTGAGGTATGTATGCGCACTAAGCTTTCTGAAAATTTGGCCTCTTATTTTTTTTTTTCTTGAAATAGTAGTAACTCAGTTTTTTCCTCCTTCAGCTATGAATATTCAGATGGAAGAGATTCAGTTCTCGACGCTCTTCAAGAACTTATCAAGAAACTCTCAAACCCTGATCTCGACAAGCTGTCTCAGAGATTGTTTCCCGTGCTTGCTGATCGTTTGGAAATAGAACCAGATAAAAAACTGCTGCATCTTCCATCGTCCACTTTTCTTCTCGATTCTAACTCTTAATAATTGTCTGATTATCCTCTCCTCTGAGCGTAGTCTATGGATGAACCAACAACAGGTTAGTCCTTCCACGAAAAATAGATTCTAGTAGGAATCAAGGTTTTACTTGGAGCCAGAAAAAAAAACTTCTCAAAGATTTCTTTCTACAAGACAACCGGTCAACGGGGAGGAGAAGAAGCTGATCTGGGACCGCGAAAGAGTGTAGAATTTTTTACAATGATGAATAAGATGGTCAGAGTAGCAGGGGACCATCGTCCTCTCATGTAGTATTGTAGATAACACAAAAAATAGTAAATCAGTCGTGCTAAACCTAATCTCTTAATATATGGTGATTTTTCCTTTTACATGGAACGTGAGGTGAATCTCTCCAAAACTGAGAATAATACTCTTCCGAATCAGCGTTTACTGAGTAGTACTTAAAGAATGCAAGTGAGCTGCTGGGATAAAGCGGATTGGAAAGATATGTAGATTATGGCACCTACTGTCTTAGCTGGCTATGGCTGATGAATCTTCTTAATTGCCAAGTGAGTAAGAGGGACATATTCGAAAAGAAGACTAGATTTTGTGGGAGAGAAAAATATGTTTGGTGCCTATATACATCAAACCATTCATTTAGGTTAGCTACAATGTAAGATATGTGCGTTGAGTATACCATATTTCAAGAGTAATTAATTAATAAACTGTTGATTTACTTTTTTTATTTTATTTTTGTCCTGCCTAACTATTTGTCGTTACGTCCATGTATTACATAGACCATACTTTGCTTTTATCATTGACTTCTGTAGTTAATGCTCTTATATGGATTATAAAGAGGTCATTTTTGGGCCACATATAAAATTCATGATTTAGTGTCTTATTATAAGATGCTTGATAAGTATGATTTTGTGTAACTGATAGAGTTTTCTAGATTAGTTTGGCTCACTTTTTGCTTTGTTTTCTTTTTTCATATGTTAGTTTTAGTGTATAGCAGGAAATGAGCATTCGCACGCTTCTTCCTATGTGCTGAATATGCCAAAAATCTATATAGGTAATCAAAAAATTATGTTTGTCTACAAAACAGCCGTCCAGGTTCTAACCTTAACTTACAAAATTAAACCAGGTCGCTTTTAACATGTCTGAAAACCACCTATATCTAAAAAACCAGTTTGTTCCGATATAATCAAACTTGCTATATGTTTTTTAACTTTTCCTGCAACAAGCCTAAAGATCACAGTTACTTCTCTTATCATCATGTACCTTGATTTGTTTGTAGTCAAAGGATCAAATTTCCTCTTACTTTTGCTTGCTATTTGTTATGTATCCCTTCAAGATGGCATGCTTTTATGATTTCATTGATGTATTACTAGGGCCATGTAACGTAAGCATCTCAGAAGTTTGGACATCGTGGCTCTTTTGTGGTAGAGGCGGAGTAAAACTTCAGAGATCATGCGTTGCATTTAGACAAGGGTTGTGGATTGTGCACAGGGTCAATTGTTACGTTTCTTGGTGCTTTGTTGCATCGTCATGATTTCTCGCTAAACTTAGTTTTGTAGAGTCTTCATTCTGTGTAGGTGTTATTGTGTATGTAGTAAAAGGAATAATAGTTCGTTGCTTAATGGCCGAATATTGCTTGTGGTCTTGTCCTAGCTATATCGTGTGAACTGGGAGTGGTGCTGTACTTAGAGCTGCAGTCCTGGTGCATGATGTAGTGTACATTTGGTTATTATTTTCCTCATATTATGAGTAGTCTATATCTATTCTAGAAAAACACTGTAGATTTGAAATGAGAGTTTGGTTTTGTCCTTGTCCCAAGAACATCTAAAATGCACAGGTGAGTCCGTGGTGGACTTACGGAGCTATTTTTCTCAAGGTGTGATGTTTCATTTTTTTTTTGATAGGGTGTAATTCTAAGTGCTCTAGAATGTTGAAGTGCACCAGTAGCTGATCATATATTTTAGAGTGTACCTTGCAAACAAGTGAGTTTGTATACATGATAATTTATAGACATGAGTCGTTTGCTTGCATTCTATATGGATACTAACTAGTTTCAGTTTAAGATGGCAGCAAAAATAATGCAGTCATGTTGTCTTATGGAGATCTTTGGAAACGAGGAACGCGGAACAGAGTACTTAGTCTGTGGTTGGGCGACTCGTGGTGTGTACCATTGATTTTGTGTATTGTCGAGATTTAGATAAAGCCTTTGTGTGGGCTGCCCATAGAGCCACATCAACGAGGCTGTGGGACAGTGGACTCTCACTTCTTGTGTCTTATCTGAGAGGGGTATGGGAACTTGGGTGTTTCAGGATGTTATGGTTATGGTGACTCTAATTTGCGTGTGTTTGCTCTTGGTGGTAAGTTGTGGTCTGAGATATAGTTGTTATTTGGTATGTAGGTGTTTAGTATTGTCTCTTATGTCAAGTAGTTGTGAATTATTAAAAATTGTTTGATGTCAATTATGTCTGTGTATTTTCTGAAATATGGAGTCGCAAAATTAATATGCACTTTAATCACATCCTAATTAATAAAAGAGAATAATGTACGCAAAGTGAATTACGAAATGTCAATGTGTTATATAAAAACTAACCAAAACAGATAGATTTACAGTTTATGCACAGAAATAGTTTTATCGGAATGAAAAAAACGTTTTTTAGTTCTCAACTCATTTTAGTCTACGAATTTTTGTCGATATTGTCAAAGTGATAAATTTTTTTTATGAACCATATTAAATGGTAATCTAAAATTGTGGTAAATCCCAAATTAAAATAAAAAAATACAGATATGGACCCTTTTATATGGATTTCACTATTCTGCTAAACGTGATTAAACTAGAATTTTGGAAAGATGTGGAAGAATATAAAACAAAATTGGAAAATGAAGCGACAATTAGGAGGTTTTATTATTATGAAGTAATATCTGGATCTTTATCAAGAAAAACTAGTTATTGTAATAATGTCTTCTAAGTGGCATAAGATCTGAAAAAAGTCGACTTAGAAACTTATATTGTGTGAAGACCAATATTTGACTAAACAACACTGTTACGACCCTTTAGAAGTGGAAAATAATGAATTATGTGAAAATACGGGTGTTTGTAAAAAATTAGATGTAATTATCAATGAATAATTGGGTGATGTTAGATTTAACTACTTATAAATGGGAAAATATTGAATACAATACTGGCGTCGTTAGCGCGTGTTCACAATCCATAGTACACTAAATAAATAATAGTAATATTTGTAGTGGCTCCTAAGAGCCATCGTTATCCTGCATCTTTTGTCTCAATACTACTCTTAAAGGGATTCCACATGTCAGCAATTATTAAATAATACTTTGCACTTTGCTTTGAAAGAGACATAGAGAGTTGACTCTAAATATATATTCACTATTTATCACAAGAAGTCTAGATCCTAAAAAAAACAGAACTTTTTTTAACCGATGATTTCTAATCGTTTCTTCTCTGGCGCTTCCTATTATTTATAATAATTCAGGTCTTTCACCAATTTTTTTGCTTCGCGACAACAATTTCTTCATATATCAAATGTCGGTTACTCTTCCCTTCTTATCTACTCAAGTCGTATCTTACGCACAGCAACGAGGACTCACTCAAAAAACTTACACGCAAATGTGATTCCTATGAGAGATACACCCAGGAAATATAATACAGGGTGAATCGCAACAATTCACAAGGGGGACAATAAAATACGTTTGTGGTGGTAGGAATCAAGTTCCAATGTTGACTAGGGCATCTGTTAGTCCAGGAGGAGGAAAGACGGGAAGGATTTCTAACGGGAGGAAATAACCTCACAGACGCAAAGCGGGTGGTACAGTAGAAAAAAAGCACTTAACCAGCAAACCAAATCCGAAGAGGTGTTAGTAGTAACGCGAAGTTTCCTCCCATTTCTGTATGCGTTCATGCGCAAATAGTGTGGTGACGAGAGTGGCGTTTATAAATATGGGTGTGTGCCAACCTAAGTCCAAAAACCATAGCTAATGAATCAGAGTAACTAATTATTGATGGTGGGCCAGATTATGACTGTCTGAAATCTCTATCGAAATTGTTTATATAAAACGGGGTTGTACGTACAAAACTCATTGTTGTTAGGTTGCTGTATCGTTTGTAGGAAAAGTCTCGATCGTTTAGTAGGTCTTCTGAAAATGGAGTGGTGAGTATTATTTATTTGGTACAAGCTGGAGGCACAAGAGTTTTGTTTCGTGCTGTGGAAACTTTTTGATTGTTATATCGACAACAAACCCTCTCCTTGTCATTTTCTGGTCACAGTAAGTTATTTTCGATCTGTATATTATGTAATATAGTATAACCTGCATTTGGGAAAAGTCTAGCTATTGTTACGGATAAGGTGCACTGATTAGCTTGCACCTGCTGCATTACGACAAGGATTGTGTTCAAAAGCTTTAGACTAGCTTATATTTGTGAATTGTTTCGTGGTGTTTTAAGGGGTTGTAGAGTTGATTGTGTTCACAAATTGTAATAACCTTGCGCCGCAAATCCACGGTTACCTCACTAGAATATAGGTTTTTAGGTATGCAGTTTTTTGGGTTAAAGTATTTGTTTGTTTCGTTTGTTTGTGTTCACGGGTGTATTGAGTGAAAGATGACGATTTTTCAGTTAATGTTGCCCAATGTTGAAGATATACGGGTTACTGCGGAAATTCACAAAATTAGTATAGTGTTTATATTAATTTTGAGGTTATGGATTAAAAGTATCATTACACAAACGGCAAATTAAAAAATATGCAAAGTTTCAGAATGTGGGTGAAGGGTGACTTGTGTGTTGATAAGACCATTTCATAAACGTCTATCTTAAAGAGCTGTCATTTCTTTATCTTTTCTTTGTTGGCTGGGCTGGTGTACGAGCGACGATTAAAGTAGTGCATGGATCACGCTAATAATCTTATACTGAATGGGAGTAGTTGAAGGCTGTAAAAATATAGATAAAATTGGAGTGTAATGGCAAACGATCTAAAATCTGGGTGAGAAAAAGAAGAAGTTATTAGGATATGGGCCAACCCTCGCAAATTCAGTAGATTTTTTTATTGGTTTGAAGTGTGTACATCTTGCAGAGTAACCAAAAAATAGGCAAAAGTGAATTCGCAAAGAAACCCAGTGTTCTGTTCTGTTCGGTTCGAGTAGCACAGCTCAATTGTTGCAGGATTGCTCAGAGAAGTATGGATGATGATAGTTTCTAAATCTAAAACTATGTTACAGCCTAATATAAATGGATGATACTGTCACATATGAGTAAAGATGGTTAAAGACCCGCAGAGAAAATGATAAGTTGAGGTATTTTTAAATTTATTAGACTAACAATCATATTAAACTAACAAGTTGAATTATTGTATCATTATGGGACAAAGTGTTAGATTGTTGTGAAGGGAATACTTGAGACCTGGTATAAAAGTGTATGGCACAGTGGGTCGTAGAGTTATGATTAAGAAAATTGTAAGGTATGTGAAGGATCAACGAACCTTCAAATATATAAATCAACACATTGACTGAAGGACTGAAATTCTATGGACACAAGCTCGAAGGTGTTAGTTAGAAAAAGAGAAAGAGTACATTCTTATGTGCATAAAATGAAGAAAAAGTGTAAAAAATCAATGATACATGAGTTTTGATTATACAGCAAACGTTTCACAAGTAACGTGAATATATAAGTTAAAGTTATATATTGGAAGAGTAAATATGTAAGCTGAAATTCTTTTTCATTTTTTATTGTCTATATTAAATTTTTTTTTAGATTGAAAAACAATGAACTTTGTGATTGATCATATGGTTGGTAGGGCTGTAGATTTGTTAATTTTCCGATTTTGCTGAATTGTAAATAGTAAAAAAATGACCGTGACTTTTAGAAAAAAAATTGTTAGTGTTTATTTACTTTAGAGAAAAATTAATCTAACAACAAAAATGTAAAAACAAATTATGTGATGTGTGTTTTTTACGACAAACTTTTATAATTTTTAAGTATTTTTAGAAATCAGTAATAAATTTTGAGTGGCTATAGATGACTTTTAAGACTTTTTTCAAAAGTGGTTTTGGCTGATTCAGAACCCTGAATAGAAATATTGTTTTTCTAAAAATAACATGTATTAAAAGTTAAATTTGTTTTTTTCACTTTATGTTTATATGATTTGCGGTTTCACCATATTTTGTAATGGAACACAGCAAATCTACATTTTGTTGAAAAAATAACTATTTGTTTTGTACTCAAATTTTTATTTTTTAGATAATATATAATAATTCGTCTAAGAATCAATTATTAATAATTATAATATATTAGTATCTAGACCTTTATATAAAAATATATATTTAACAAACCTTTATCCGCGCCGATACATGAGCTGGAATCATAACCTAACTTTTATATTAAGTGCCTAATATCTGCTGCTTTGCTTGGAAAAAATATTTTCCCACTATCATAATATAGTTCATAATTTTAATTAGTTGTCCACTAGTATAGTAATTTTGTGCGTATGAGTTTACTAAAAGAGAACTCAAGCAAAGCTGTCGTCCAAAAGATGCCAAAGTGATAGACATGTGAACGTGCGTCGGTGGTGGTACATATGATTCGATTCAATAAAAATTATCGTAGTTTCTTGATTTCTGTGGAAAAGGCTTTTTTTTTTCACTCAACCAAAACTCTTGTTGAGTCGTGAATCTGGTGGAGCTAACTTTCATCTATGATTTGATTTGATATTATTTTATTTTATTTGGCCCCTCAAGCTCCATAACTCCAATTCAGTTCTTGTCCGCTAGTAGTCGTAGTGATATGGAGTATATTTCTGATCCTTCGTTTTTTTTTAAAAAAAAACACTCTTTTCTAAGTAATAATTCAATACGAATCTACGATATAAGAGATAAGAAAAATTCAAGCAAAGCTTTCTCATACACAGCTCAAGGATCTTCCCACATGGGTTCTCTTGACTTGCACTCACGCTTCATCGTTCAAGGTTCTTTCTCTAACTTGATTTATTTGAAGAAAAAAAAACTGAAATTAAGTATTATACGATTTTATTGTAACAGGGGGGAAGCGAAATATTTCTTAGGAATGTGGTTCGAAAATATATTGCAAAACGTATCTTAGAAAGAATCCGACCGCGAAGACGATATGGAAACTAGTTCAGTCATTGGACAACCGAGAAGATCTGTTACGACCACTATCACTTTCAGGACATTTAAGGTACGTACGAATTTTACGACTTCAAGATTTAATAAAAACTAATTGTGTAATTTTATTTTCTTTTTTTTTTGTCTGTGGTGATATATGTTTATAGTAGATGGTTACGGAATTTGATTCCTTGTCGAGTTTTTTTTCATGGATTATGGGATATAAAATTGGAGGCGGACTTGGACTTTCCAAAGAAGAAACTACGAGTTCTCTGGTTTTCTCCTCCTGATGTTCACGTCCCTAATTGCACGGTCACGTTGGTCTAGCCAACGGCCCTTTGCCACGACTAGTTATATGCCGAGCTTCTTGTGGACGAAACTAAGCTTTTGAATCACAAGTATACTTGTGATCACAAACATGTTGTTATTACTATGAATCTTTTAAGATATCTAATTTTTGCTTCTATGGTTAACTTATATGTAGGAGATAGTAAAGGAGGTATTTGATACCAGAAGGTGGATAAGGTCAAGCGGTTCTTTCAAGTAACTTTGGGATCTTTAATATGGGGAGAAGCCTACATGGGACTCGCCTTCAAGCAACTTGCAAAGTATTACACATATATATATATATATAACTCTCTAATCAATAATTTATACAGTATATCGTTACTTAATAAAATTTGATTGTTTTAGAACTAACTAGTGTGAAAATTGCATGTATGATCCCGATGAAGAGAAAGCCGACATTCGCGGCATGGACCGCTTATCCACGGCATACACAATGAACCATCTTGCTTTTTCGGTTCATACTCTCAAACACCTCCTTCAGGACATCAAATGTGTCAAAGAGTATCTTGAAGTTAAAGAGATTTAAACTCAACAGTGAACGGAGGAATTCTCAAGGTTCCATTTCCTTTACTCATTCCCCTTATGACATTTTTTTATTGCAATATTTTCTATATATCAATTGTTAAATTAAAATTAACGTGGTATATATAAGAGGGTCTGGCGGACCCACAATCAATTCTGACTCCGGTAAAGTTTTAAGATTACAATTGTAGAGGTTTTTCCTTCCTTTTTATTATTATTTTTGACCCCCATTGCCCCATATGTTTATTTGTATTGTTTGGTCCACAGCAAAAATACTAAACCCCTAGTCCGTAGTTTGTTTACAAATGGTTTAAGTTAGTCAAGATGGTCCTACGGTTTACAAGTGGTCAACGATCTCGGAGATTGCTTGCGGTTGAATTTGCAGATGGAGTAAGTGAAACAATCCCAGCTTCGTACATTGAGTTCACTTCAACGTCTGGTCCCTCCCACAGTTCAAAGAGATCTGCCGTGTGATGAGGTAAATAGAAAAACAAAAAAGGATCCACATTAAATGCATTTTTTAGTAATTTAATAGGTATGAAATTTCCGTTGTGTGTTGCAGGATCAAACTAGACATCATACGAACGCGAGGCCTTTGAACTCGATAACGCAAACCACGTAATGGGAAAGCACCCGTGCTTCGTTAGCAGCATGCCTAGAACCAGACTTGTCTTGTTGTGGTTTGGAGTATGTCAAATTTGTTTTACATTGTGTTTCCTACGTAATATGTCATGTGTGACTGCTGTGTTTGCGATGAACCTTTATTCTAGTTTCTACTTTTTATGATAGGGCCCACTGGATCAAAGCATTTGTTGGCATCCCCGGCAATTATTAGTATATTAGGCCCACTAAAACGCCCAACCGAGTGAAAGCTTCGACTATAAAATTTGACTCTCAGCAATAAGCTCGTTACAACAAATGCCAAGTGGATTCAAAATACACGATCAATGTCCCACGATTTGACTAAGGTTCTTGTGGACGAACTAGAGTTCACCGGATTCTCTAATGCTAACGGAATAATGGAGGTCTAAAAACATGATACTATTTTGATTCCTGATCAAATATAAAATGGTTTGTTATTTCTAGTTTTTAACGCGAAAAATTGATTTCTGCCCTAAAAAACGTAACTGTTCCTTCACTTAAAAAACCAATAATGCACCAAAAAATATAACCAATAATACTGTAAGGTTGCAATATCTATTTTCTACAAGATACCTAAAATGTTTTTACTTATAGTGATGTACTAAAAGAAAACAAGTTGTCCTTGGCTAACTGGATCCCGTTTCTCCTTATATATATTTTTTGCGATAAATTGGTTAACTGTATAACAACAAAAAGGCAACATTATTGTCCTATTAATCTCATGTACTATCAGTGTCTATATTTGTTTATTAATAAAATAAATAAAAGAATTGGCATAAAGCTGACAAGATTGTCATGTGAGAAAAAAAAAAAGCTAGCCGGCACAATTGAACAAAAGCAAAAGAAGGGGACACTATAAACAATCTGATAGAAGGACGATGTCGGTTTGGATGTTATATGATTTATGTAATCTCACCTTGCCCGGCTTGGCAAACAAACTTTAACAGTGTGTAATCTCATTAGCCAATCCATAATAAGGGACATCATGAATCCATTGGAAAAACTCCAAGGAACACCTCCTTATTTTATATCCATTATCCATGGAAGATACTATTGACAAAGAATCTATTCCATACACCCTTCGATCGATACTATACAAAAAAAAAAAGATTAGTTTTATAAGAGTTGTATTGGTGATGGAGTACTAGTAGTATTACTCATTTGTTCATCATTTCTAAGTTTTTTTGTTAAAATCACTTTAGAATATTTCACCAAGTTTTCCAAGTTTTCGAACGGCACACACTTTTGTTATATAACCCACCCAGTTGCATGTAAACAATTACAAAAACTCGAAGTCGACATTAACAACCTCCCCGACTCCAAAATCCACATTACTCTGGCAAGCCTCTTGCACTCCCTACGATATAAAATAATTAACCTCCAACGTATTATTTTCCCTTTTGGCTAAACTTATACCCTTCTGTTCGGTTAAACCTAGCATGAACGAAATAATTATTTATTGGTATTTTTTAGCAAAAAAAACTAAAAATATATAAACTATTTATAAATCAATTTTATGAAAACAATAGCCCGTAGACCATAAAAGAACGCAAACCCCCGTAACACAAAAAGAAACAATTAAGGTACGAAAATCCAATTAATGTAAGCTATGGATCAGTGGCATTCCTTGAAACTCGATAAAGAATACCTTAAGTGTCATGAAGGAAGTGGTTCGTAGCACATCTTCTCGTTGTCCACCGACTGAACAAGTTCCATATCCTTTTTTGTTGTCGGGCTCTTCTCCAAGGAGTATTCAATATAGAATTGTTTGAGAGACTCAAATCAAAGAGCTCTAAGTACTATGGTTCAATGTGGGTGCCTTCTTCTCAGGAAAACGTGAGCCCCACATGTGGAGTGATGATACTTATAAAACAAATGATCGTCTCCTCATGATTGTGACATTAAGCAAAGGGCGATGGTTGAATACAGTTTTGTTTCCGATTTTACTCTTTAATTAGATAAGATTTAAACTCAACTTATTTTGTTAATTGAACCATTACAAAATATATCTACCGTAAGGTATATCTATAGGCGAGTGGATGAAAATGTCATAACAATATATCTATATTTTATATAAAAATAAAAATTAGTGTAAGTAACCCACATCATTTATGTCGAAGTTGATGAAATGTCAAAACAAATAATATGAAAAAAAATATGAGGGTTGGTGAAATTAAGTGTGTGTAAAAAACAAACTTTTTGGGTATGGATAGGTGGAGGGTTACGGAATAGATTCCTTATCGAGTTTCTTCATGGATTATGGATATAAAATTGGAGATGGGCTTGATTTTCCAACGAAGAAACTACGAGTTCTCACGTTTTCACCCCGGATATTCACGTCCCCGACGACGGTCACGGTCTTGACAACGGGCCTCTGCCACAACTTGTCATAGCTGAGCTTCTTGTGGATGAACTAAGTCCTGAATCACAAGTATGAATGATAATCATAAACATAATGTTGTTGTCATGAGTCTTGAAACATCTAATTATAGCTTTCTTGTTCCTAACTTCTAGTTAATGGTTAATTAGGAGATAATACGGAGATATCTAAAACCACAAGGTGGTAAGCAAGCGGTTCTTTCAAGTACTTTGGGGTCTCTAATTTGGGAGAAGCCAACATCCATCGACTTTAATCATCAAAGAGTATCTAGAAGAAAAGGGATTCAAACTCAACAGAGACGGAGGAATTCTCAAAGGTTTCCTTTACTTGTTTCCCTCATGAGATTCTTGGTTATTGCAATGTTTATGTTCTTTATCTGCTATATAAATAGGAATAAATGTGAATCAATATGTATTTCAGTGAGTCAAGATGGTCTACTTCTACAAGTGTCATCGATCTCGGAGAGGGTTGCGGTTGAATTTTCAGATGGAGTAACCGAAACAATCCCGGCTTCATATATAGAGTTCACTCAACGTCTGGTTCTCCCAAAGTTTCAAGATCTGCCTCATGACCAGGTTCTACATTTGGATACAGTACTGGCTTCTTTTCATCATGTATGCCTTCGTTGGTCCATTGTATTCACAATATATGTGTATACCCGTAATTGCAGATTAAAGAGTAACATAGACGTGACGACTTTGATTTCGACAACGCAAAAAACATTTTGGAAAGCGCCCGTTTCACCTCAGATTTGTCTAGAATCAGTTTGGTCCAATCCTTTCTGAAATGAATACCATTAGATAAGCATTGGTTGTAATGCAAGGTTAGTAGGTTCAATGTGTGCTGTATACCTGTGTGGGTGTGTTTCTTCTTTCCCAAGAAACGTGTCTCAAATGCATTACTCGTGTTTGAACATCCCCATTTCCTCCTGCTTTTCTGTTCAATGTTACGCAGTCTAATTTCCTTGATCCTCCTACGAAACATATTTCAAAATAGAACATCAATAACATCAATACGTTAAATCAGGTTGGCTGTGCGAGAGAATTTGCCAGTCCAGAATCTGAGAAGGAGACAAAAACCCTAAAAATATCCTTCCGATTTTATTGTTGGCAAGATTTCGCTTGTTTCGTCCCATCTTCATATTCTGAGCGTTGCGCTCAAAATTAGGTGGTCTACGTAATTATACGTGACAACGATTAAATGCCGACTAATTACGGGCGTCAAGTTTTAGGATTGGCCCAAAATAAGCCCAAGATATGAACCGTGACAACGTGAATAATTTTGTTGGGGAGATTTTGGGGCGCCTTTTGGGTTAATATTGAATCGATGAGTGTATAATAAAAGTTCTTTTTAAAATTATTTCATTTTTTGAAGCAAAAATATATTTTGATTAATAGTGAATTCTGAAATTCAATCAAATATATATTTATCGGGCTATTTTTTTTTTTGGGTTTTAGCAAAAAATAGCCATAAGTATAAACCAATTAAGATATCCGTAATATTGCATACATAGCAAATGTATACAATTGTTGAAACAAAAAAACAAAAATAAAAATCAAATGATACAATTATTTTGGTGTATTTTCTAATACCCAAGATAGAGATGGTAACTTGGACTGAAAAATACAAAAGGTGAAAAAAAACTTTAGTCACGTAAATATGTATTTACAACGGATAAACAAATAAAAAACAAAGAAAAGAAAGAACAGCACGTTGATGATTCCCATTGATCATATACAAGTTTGAAGTATTCGTCACTTCTTTTTCCATTTACCGCACAAGCCGTTATAGGTTAGCTCTATTTTTTTTCCAAGTAAACCCCATCCATTGTGTAGCAATCCATAACGGTGGCCATTATTACAACGGAGAGGTGATGACATGATGTATGGCCCGTCCAAAGGTAAATATCAGGATAAATTATCCAAATTCTCCCTTTAGGTTTTGAAACCTACAACTCCATGAGTTTGGCATTGTTGTTTCACATGTGGTTTCTCATTGAACTTTATCTCTATGACCATGAGCGCGGCCCTAGTTTATCATCGCGGGACCAGCAAAGAGCCTCTTGCCAGGACCCAAATTGTTTTGAACTGCTTAACTTTCCATAGTTGCAATTCTTTGCCTTCATTCAACTTAGCAAGGCATAGCAATAAGCAACACAAAAATTATGAGACTATTCATTTCTTTTTATTTCTTTTTTTGAAACAAAAAGTAATCTTTGGATTTGAAAGTAGATCATCTAAAGACAATCAAATGTAATATTTATATTAAAAAATATATTTGGGTCTACAAAATTTTTCTTTCTATTTAATTTAATGGTTTTTTAGCTAAATTTAAATATACAAACTATTGACTTCCCTATAATTAAAAAAGATTTCGATGACGAAAAAATCTGGATATCCCAATAAAATCAAAACTATCTATAATTTAACCTTACAAACTAAAACTGCGCTGATAAGAAGTCAAACCAAAAAATAAAAAGTAGAAGATGTAACAAAAAAAAATTGGCAATAACAATCATTTTTAACAATAACAAAAAATTGTATTCAATAATAAATTACAATACTTACTTATACGATTTGTTAGTTTTAATTTCCACTAACGAAATCTTTAGAAATTAATTCCTCCCGGTGCAAAATATCATCTCATACCAGTTTTGAGTATAACGATTTGTTACTTTTTTTGCTAACTCGTCCCTGCTTAAATTCTTTTTTGTTTTTGTGTTAGAATATTAGTAAATAAATAAAGCTTAACTAAACTTAAAGTCATGAGATAAACATAATGTATATAAAATTCCAATAATTTTAAAAAAAGAAAAAGAAAAATCCCCCCATTTTTAATTTCAGAACAATAAAAAGGTGACTCAAGATTGGGGTAGTTAGTGTTTTTTGTAAATGTGGTCGAAACGATCACCATGTTTGAGTAAGGACATAACGGTTCAACATCAGTCGACATAGCTGCAACCGTATCCATATTTGTATAAGGCTGGAAGTTGAAGCGATATCGATTTTGGACACGTTTCTCTGCGTGAGAATAACTTCTACAAGCTTGGTCATGCCTCTTCCATCGTTTTCACTATGACAGGCCCAGGGGCAGTGAAACTCCATGATGCGACGAACGGATTACATTCTCAGCTTCACTAAAATTATCCCTCATTCTGGGTACGTCTCTCGTCCCGGTAAGTTTCCGCACACAGCCTCGCGATCTTGGCCATGGCCTTGGAATTGCTTCGCAACATGCAACCATGCTCGTGAGTGCGAAGACCAATTAATGTCGAAAAAGCCTGTCGGCTCTCATTGCAACCCGAGAAAAGTAAGTTGCTAGTAGTCCGGCCTGTTTGTGAGGCCGTTGGGGAAGAGACCGGGCTTCTCTCCGGTGATGAGTTCGGCGAGGACGTACACCGGTACCTGTACACGTCGCTCTTTTTGCCGCGTGTATTTGTTTCGGATTGGTAGTACTCGGGATCGGGGACCAATTAAAAATCCGTGCGGTTACCTTTCCCCACGGTAGTGGATTATGGAGTATCATCCACAAGCCATCACCCTTGAAATACCGAAAATCAGACTAATTTTGCTCGGTGCGTAGCGTCAAGCATGATGTTGGTAGAATTAAAAAACAAAAAACTCAGCCTCATTTGACCAGGCTTCTTGATTGTGCTTACTTCAGCTGTTAGGGTTGGAGAAAGGTCTCAAGGTTTTGGTGATGTTACTTCTTATGGTTAAACATACATTTGCTATGATCGTGTCGCCGATTACTAAATTTACTTGTCATCAATGTATGTAAAACAGACTACACACTGTTTGGTTTGCGACTCAGTGAGCCAGATTGTGCTAACTTTTGGTGGATTCCTCTGATGTTCTCGATAACGTTTCTGGCACTGATGTTATGCAACATTGACGGACTCAGTGACCTTCAATGGAAGTGGAATCCATTGGCTTCGCAATGGGCCCACCAACATTTTTCGTTGAAGAGTTTAAGGTATCTTGTAAATACTCGTTCAATGTTATATTTCTTCCCCTTATGAGTTCATCATGCAATTCTTTTGCAGTTTGCTCGAGTTTTTTGCGGGAGTTTCTAGAGAAAGGAATAAAATTAAATAGTCGGAAGCCTTTGGCAAGTAATATATTTAAGGCAATGACTCTTTTTTTTCATTAACCTCTTTGAAAAATCTGTCTTATCTTTTATATATGTCATTAGTGACTAGGCTTGGCTTCTATGCATGCAGTTGGATCAACAATATGAATTTTTGAGTCTACGGAGGAGGTGATTCCCTCTATTACTATCGTATTGCTAAGAAGCAGCAAACAAGTCACGACAAGGTGAAAATTATAGATGGATCAGTCGAGTAGGATTCATGAGTTCTTGGAAGAGAAAATCAAGAAAACTCCAAACGTATATAGAGAATACAGGGTTAGCTCAAATCGATGAGGCTGAGTTTGCTGCGTTTTTGTGGAGCTGTGAATTGTTGTTCCCTATTTTTTTAAAGTGGAATTCATCATTGCTGATTTGCTTTAAGAATACTCTTAAACAGCACTTGGGGGGACGACTCATGCTGGTAAGCTTTACCATGCCACATCAACTTATAACTGCTGTTCTTGATCATGGTCTTAATTTTTAGAAATTATCATAACTCTTTTTATTAAATCTTTTTCAGTAACACTTGTAGTGCTCAAGAGTTGATGTGGCAGAGCATGCTTGAGTGCTGTTTTGGGGGTCATGTCATAAACTCTCTTTCTCCTGGAAGAATCCAACCGCAGTGATTGTAGAGGAGCTTTGTTTCTTGCTAAAACAGTACAAGACATGTTGTACAAGTTGCTCTCTTCCGTGGCTGACTATTTGGATCGTGTGGTCATGTGAGTTTATTCAATTAAATTCTCCATTTTGTATTTGATGACTCTGTGATGGTAAACACTGATCCACTGTAATCCGCAGGCCTGTATTAGCAAAATGATGGTAGTAGCCCTAATGCATATCCAGAACTTGAAGCAGATAAAGCCGAGATGCCTTCATCACCATCCTTTTCTGAAAACTTTGCGTCACTCAAAACAAAGACATCCGTCTTCTGACTCTAAGGATCCTTTGCCATTTCGAGACTCTGTCTTGTAATCCATCTTCTGAAGAACATCCTCCTCCTAAGAAGAAACTGGAAGACTAGCGTGGTTCACAAGTCTCTTCCTAAAGCGAATGTGAGTAGCAACTATATGACTGTAACCTCTGCGCTCTATCATGCGTCACAAACTAATACAATTTCTTTTCAAATTACCACAGGTGCTTCAGTTTTACTGAAAACAGTCGAAGAGTCTCTTCTCACAGTATCGACCGAAATGGAGTTGAGCAGATCGATTACTAGCATACAAACGGATCTCTCTGATGGCAGGATGCACGAGGCGTTATGTGCCTCTTGTATTCAATGGAATTATAGGAATATTTTCACAATCGATTTTCCAGAATATGGTCAGCCAGCATCTGATTGCCTTGCGGTTCTTATCAAGAATCACACAGGAGCCCGTGTGGAATGGTTTTGTTTCGTTATATAGGTTTCATATGTTAGTTTTTAATTGATGGTTTTTAATTGATTTCATATGTTAGTTAGAGGTTAGCAGAAATGAGCAGCCACGCCTCTCTCCTATGCTGAATATGCCAAAAATCTATATAGGTAATCAAAAAATTATGTTGTCTACAAAACAGCCGTCCAGGTTATAACCTTAACTTACAACATAAACCAGCTTTTACATCTGAAAAACCTATATCTAAAAAACAGTTTGTTCATATAATCAACCTTGCTATATTTTTAACCTTTCCTGCAACAGCCTAAAGATCACAGTTACTCTCTTATCATCATGTCCAAGAATTTGTTTGTAGTCAAAGGATCAAATTTCCTCTTTTGTTGCTCGCATTGTATGTTCCCTTCAAGTTGCTGCTTTTGATTTCTTGATTATCCCATGTGCCATACTAAGCATCTCAGAATTTGGAATCTCCTTTTGTGTAGAGGCGGAGTAAAATTCAGAATCAGCGTTCTTAAACAAGGTGATTGCATGCAATTGTACGTCTGTGCTTTGTCATCTCATGATTCTCCAACTATTTTAGTTTAGAGGAGTCTTCATTCTGTATATATGTAGTAAAGGAAAATAGTCTTGCTTATGCCAATATTCTGTGTTTGTCAATAGCTATACGTGTAACTGGAGTGTGCTTACTTAGAGCTGCAGTCTTTGCATATGTATGTACATTGATTCTTAATTTCCTATTATGAGTAGCTATCATTCTAAGAAACCACTAGATGAATGAGATTTTTCTTGCCAAAGAAATCAAAATGCACAGTGAGTCCTTGGTGACTACGACTATTTGCAAGGTATTTTCATTTTTTTTAATTACTTCTAAGCTCTAAATGTTGAAGTCCAGAGCAGTCATAGAGTTACCTTGCAAACAAGTATTTTAATGATAATTATAGACATGAGTCTTGCTGCATCATTGGAAAACTATTACAGTTTTAAATGGGCAGCAAAAAAAATGCAGTCATGTGTCTTATGGAGAGCTTTCGAAACTGAACCAGAAGTACTTATCTGTGTGGGACTCTGGTGTACCATGGATATGTCGGAGATGAAAAACATTTGTGCTGCCATAGATGCACATCAACGAGCTGTCTGGACATGAACCCTCTGTTATTATCGAGTATGGTATGGAACCGTTTTCAAAGATTATGGTATGGTGACTGGCTATTTTGGCGTTGCTCTTTGCTTAAGTGTGTCGATATACAGTTGTTATTGTATGATGTTTAGATTGTCTCTATTCAATAGTTTGAATTAATAATATTTTTGATGTAATTTATCGGTATTTTTCTAAATATAGTCCAATTAAATCACTTTATCAAATCCTAATTAATAAAAAGAAATAATTACCAAAGTGAATTACGAAATGTCAATGTTTATAAAACTAACAAAACAGAAACATATACAAAATAGTTTTATCGGAATGAAAAAAAACGTATTCTAACCATTTATCTAAAATTTTCGATATCAAATTGAAACTTTATACCAATAAATAATTCTAAATTGGTAAATCCAAATTAAAAAAAAAAAAATCAAATGACCTTTTATGGATTCATTATTATTCTAAACCTGATTAAACTAGATTTTGGAAAATTGGAGAATAAAACAAAATTAAAAGAACAGATTAATTTATATATAAGTAAACTGATCTTATCAAAAAAAATATTTATTAAAATTATCTAAGTGCATAACACTGAAAAGTCACTTAGAAATATTATTGAAACAATATGAATAACAAACTTAAGACCTAGAATTGTAAAAATAAAATTATGTGAAAATACAAGTTAAAAAATTAGATAATTATCAATAAATAATTTGGGTTATTAGATTTAAACACTATAAATGGAAATATTGAATACAAACCGCGCGTAGCGCGGTTCAATCCCTAGTACTAAAATAAATAGACTATTTGAGGCTCCTCAAGCCATCTACATCAGCTTTTCAAACTACTCTAAAAGGATGCCACATCAGCAATATTAAATTAACTTTGCTTTGCTTTGAAATAACATAGAGATTACTCTCTAAATATATATTTCACATTATCACAAAATTCAATCCTAAAAAACAAACTTTTAACCGAGAAGTTCTATCGTTTCTTTCTCTCCTCCTATTATTAAATAATCAGTCTTCACCAATTTTTCTTCCGCACAACAATTCTCATATATCAAATTCGGTTCCCTCTTCCCTTCTTATCTACTCAATCTATCTACGAACACAACAGACTCACTCAAAAAACTTACACCAAATGATTCCTATAGAGAAAACCCAGGAAATAATCATTAATCACCATTCACAAGGGACAAAACTTTGGTGGAGAATCAAGTTTCCAATGTTGACAGCATCTTTATCCATGAGGAGAAAGACGAAGGATTCAACGGAGGAAAAACCAAGACCAAAGCGGGTCAAAAAAGCACGTAACCAGCAAACCAATCCGAAGAGTTAGTAACGGAGTTTCCCGATTTTCATGCGCATAGCAATAGTGTGGTGACGAGATGGGTTGATAAATAGTGTGGCCAGACTAATCCAAAACCCATACACTGAATCAGATAAATATTATTGATGATGGCCGTATATACTCTGAAAATCTTCTATCCAATTTAATAACGTGTACGTACAAAACTCATGTTTTAGTCTGTATGTTTGTAGGAAAGTTAGATCTTTAATTATTCTTCTGAAAATAGTGTGAGTTATTATTTACAGCGGAGGCAAGAGATTTGTTCGTCTGTGAAACTTTGATGTATATCACCACAAACCCTCTCCTTCATTTTCTCACAGTAAGTTATTTCTATCTGTATATATGTAATATAGTAAACCTGCATTTGGAAAGTCAGTATGTTACTTATAAGTGCTATTACTTGCACCTGCTGCAGACAATGATTGTTTCGCTTTTAGACTATTATTGTGAATTTTCTTTTAAGGGTTAGTAGTTGATTTCTGCAAAAATTTAAAACCTTCGGCCAAATCCACTTTACTCACAAATATATGTTAGGTATGGAGTTTTTTTTTTAAATTATTTTTTTTTTTCGTTTTTGTGTTCACGGTGGGTATTGATTAAGATGACATTTTTCATAATTTCCAAATTTAAGCTACGTACTGGAAATTACAAATAGTATAGTGTTTATATAATTGATGTTAGGGAAAAAGATCATATACCAGCGCAAATACAAAATATGCAATTCAATGTGGTGAAGTGACTGTTTTTATAAGACCATTCATAAACTTCTATCTTAAAAGCTTTCATTCTTATCTTTCTTTTTGCTTGGCTGTGTACACAATATTAAAGTAGTGCATGGATCACGCTAATAACTTAACTAATTGGAGTAGTTGAAGTCTCTAAAAATATAGAAAATTGATGTTAATGGCAAACATCTAAACTGTTGGAAAAAAATATAGATATGGCAACCCGCAAATGCACTGATTTTATATTTGAAGTTTAATCTTCAGAGAAAAAAAAGCAAAAGTAAATTTCAAAAGAAAACCAGTTTCGTGTTCGAGTAGGCAGCTCAATTGTTCAGATTGCTCAGAGAGTATGGATGATGATAGTTTCTAAATCCTAAACATTTTACACATAAATAAATGATGAACTTCCATAGAGTAAGGATGTAAAGACCGCAAAGAATAAAAGGTTCGTGAAATATTATTATAACAACAATCATATTAACAAAGTGAAATTATCGATATGACAAAGTGTTAATTTGAAGGGAATACTTGAGACCGTATAAATGTATGGCACATGGGTAGATTATGATTAAAGAAATTGTAAGGTATGTGAAGATCAACGAACCTCAAATATATAAAACAACATTGACAAGGACTGAATTCTGGACACAAAAGTTCGAAGGTGTTAGTTAGAAAAAAGAGAAAGAGTACATTCTTATGTGCATAAAAGAAGAAAAAGTAAAAAACAATACATGAGTTTGATTATACAGCAAGGTTTCACAAGTAACGTAATATATAAGTTAAGTTTATATTGGAAAGTAAATATGTAAGCTAAATTCTTTTCATTATTTACTGTCTATTAAATTTTATTAGATTGAAAAACGGCTGTGATTGATCATATGGTTGGTAGGCTGCAGATTTTTAATTTTCATTTTGCTAAAGTAAATAGTAAAAAAAATGACCGTGACTTTAGAAAAAAAAAAACACCCTG